TATTTATATATCAATATAGGAAATATCAATTTATTTCCAATATTGATTGAAAGCGCTCAACGTACAAGGCATTTCATTTCTGCCAATGTGAATAATCAGGCTACTTTTTAGAACCCTAAGCTGTTAAAGTTTTGATCATATGGCTATAGCTATGCCATTCCGGCTTTTAAATTTTATTTATTAAAGAAATTCCAAGCATTCAGTAACATTAAATTTTAAACAAACTTGAAAGCATTGGTCAAAGCAGGTAACAATTTTATTAAAAATTGTCAGATGTAAAGAATCTTGGTAGTTGTGTTTGGCCTCTGGTAGATTCCAGACCTTTATTTGACCCTGAATTAGATAGAATGTCTATTGCTGTCTTTCTGATTCACAGCATCTAACAGTTTAGTATGAAAATGCTGCAAGTGTCTTTTTAAATTTGATGCTCTTGTAGGTGCATTTTTATTAGAACCACAAAAGCCACTAATTTTTGCAATTCGTGCTTTATCATCATCATCATCTATAATACATCAACACATATAGTATTTCCCATCAGCTGTTACTGTAAACTGTTCAGAAACAACTGACTTTGTTAATGCTTTTTTGCCATTGTGGAATTTAAATATATCCTGAAAATATAACCTGAAAAGATAAGTTAATGCAATAATCAAATTATTATCACTGAAACAGGAAAATTTAAAATATTATTTATATAATAATTTAAATTTATTAGGAGTCAGAGTTGGGACATTTATTTTCCCACTCCAATAACTCAAGAATTGCTTCTGACTTTGCCTCTGACTCCATGACTTTGCTTCCTCCTCCACAGTCCTGCTGTTTGGAAGGAGAGGAACTAGACTGGCTCATGACATGCATGGTATATGTGGCATCCACTCACTACTAAGCAGGTGTGCTTGAATGGATACCATCACAATGAAAGACAGATGGGATATAAGCATAATAAATAAACAAACTAATTAGAAGCCAATACACTTGTATAAACAACAAATTGTGGCAAGTTCTGAAAGAGATGGGAGTACCAGACCATCTTATTTGTCTCTTGAGAAACCTATATGCGGGTCAAGAAGCAACAGTGAGAACTAGACGTGGGACCACTGATTGGTTCAAAATTGAGAAAGGAGTTCGGCAAGGCTGCATACTGTTGCCCTGACTATTTAACTTATATGCAGAGCACATCATGAGAAAGGTGGGGCTGGATGAATCACAAACTGGAATTAAGATTGCTGGGAGAAATATCAACAGCCTCAGATATGCAGATGATACCACTCTCATGGCAGAAAGTGAAGAGGAACTAAAGAGCCTCTTGATGCAGGTGAAGGAGGAGAGCGCAGAAGTTGGCTTGAAACTCAGCATTAAGAAAACTAAGATCATGGCATCCGGTCCTCTCACTTCCTGGCAAATAGATGGGGAAGAAATGGAGGTAGTGACATTTCTTTCTGGGTTCCAAGTTCACCGCAGATGGTGACTGCAGCCAAGAAATTAAAAGACGCTTGCTCCTTGGGAGGAAAGCTATGGCAAACCTAGACAGCATACTAAAAAGCAGAGACTCTGCCACTCTGCCAACAAAAGTGCGTATAGTCAAGGCTATGTATGTTCCCAGTTGCAATGTATGGCCCATAAGGAAGGCTGAGCGCCGAAGAATTGAGACCTTTGAATTGTGGTGCTGGAGGAGACTCCTGCAAGTCCCTTGGACTGCAAGGTGATTAAATTGACCCTGACTGCTCTTTAGAAGGCCAGATATTGAAGATGAAACTCAAATACTTCGGCTACCTAATGAGAAGGAAGGACTCACTGGAGAAGAACCTAATGCTGGGAACAATACATGGCAAAAGAAGAAGGGGATGGCAAAGGATGAGGTGGATAGATGGAGTCACTGAAGCAGTCGGTGTGAGCCTGAGTGGACTCTGGGGGATGGTGGAGGACAGGAAGGCCTGGAGGAATGTTGTCCATGGGGTCGCAATGGTCAGACACGACTTCGCGACTAGCAACAACACTTGTATAAAGGTATTAAAATGGTTGGCAGTGTTATGCAGTACATAGATTGTCTGACTTGGACTGGGGCATGTGCATGTGGCAAGATCAAAAGCTGCTCCGTGGGTGACCTTGCATCAGCTCCAGCTCACAATGAAAGCAGTTTGTGGTGAGAACAGACAAATCCACCACAGCATCCACCCACGACCTGTTGGCCTGTAGATGTTTTGGACTTCATTTCCGATCAGCATTGGCAAGCATGGCCAGTGGTCAGGAATCGTAGGACTTAGACCCAAGGACCAACTCCCCTCCCCCAAATGTGCATTTAGTAGTTTATACATGCTTTGAAGTTGCTCTATGAAGGAGAGTTATTTGTAAAAAAGGGATGTATGGGCAGGGGAATGAGAGGAGGGCATTTACTCTCAGTGGGAGGAACTCAGGCAAAAAAGATTCGAGCACGAGGTGAAATACATGTGGGCAAAAATGCCAGCTAATCCAGGGGATCAGATGCAACAATGACCTTGAGGGCCCACATGCCTTTATTGCACATCCTCCCAGAGATTCAGGGCTCCCAAGGAGGGATTCGGGGCTTCAGCTCTAGTAGGCTGCACCCCTGATTCTGAGGACTGAGCTGCTCCAATTTAAATGTTAGAAAGGAGCAATGAGGTAGAGCTCACTCTTGCTTTGATTAGAGCTCATCCACACACCTGTGAGGGAACACGGTGAGCAGAGGCACGGTGAGTGCAGGGAAATCTGAACAGTTCTTGTACTGGAGGAATCGTGCGACTTCCCCCAATTCTTGGTATGCCTTCAATCCCCCCCCCCCGCCCCCAATCAGCAGAGTATTATGGAACATTTCCTCTAATTCCATCATTTACTGCCGATGTGAAAAACAGCAGGACTGCTGGCAAATCCACCTGCACCGATTCCATTCCAGGAAAAGGGGCTACATTGTAGGGCCCAATCAAAAGAACTCCTGTGCACTGCAGAGGCCAAGGACAGCTTGCCAGCACTCAGGCTGAAACCAACTATGGATTAAATTGCACCCTGCTAACACAGAGCGTGCATTGTGCTCCTTTGTTGTGCAAGTATGCCAATCACATTCCCTTGTAAAGGGCACACACTAGCTCTAAGAAGGGGTCTTTGTTTTTGCCTCTCTTTTTTCTTCAAAACAGTGACTGAATTGGAATGCATTTCAGGTAGTAATCTAAACCCCAGTCAGTGCTCAGAGGAAGACTCGGTGGGAAGAGAGGATTAGTTTAATCCAGAGGAGAGATTGCTTGCAGAGTCTTCTTGGCATGTAAAGTCAGAACCCCCAAAGTGCCCACAACAAAGGACTCAGCTTAACTATGCCAAACTTACCTTGGACAAGCATCCCATTAATGCTTTCTTGCGACTTGCACAGCCAACAGATGTGTAGCTCGCTTTCAAGTTTTACGCTTTGAGAACACACAGTTTTCAGGTGTGAGAGACTGGGTTTGAGGCAAATGCAATTCGCTTGGAATCCGTATCAGTGAAGCCTGCTTCAGTACTGGAAATCTCCATTTGCTGCTGAAGTCCTGAAGCAATCTATATGCACAGGCCAACTCAGTCTGGATGGACCTTGCCTATTCTAGTATTAGAGGTGGCATGCTGGGGAACATGGGTGAGGGGTGCTGTGGCAGTCTTGTCCTGCTTGGGGCCACCAGCATGTGAACAAAATGTTGGACTGGATGGACCCTTGATAAGATCCAGTATGGCTCTTATGTTCTTAACCCACAGTGTTCCCTGAAGAAAGCTAAGAGTTACAGGCCTGTTTTCTTTCTAAATGAAAAGAAATGACAACTTAGAAAGGCTGTTCAACCGTTTTGGACATCTGCAAGTACAGCCTCTACATGCACTTATTTATATGAATGGTTCTTCAGCAAAAAGCTTTTGTGGAGTTTGCAAAGGATGCAAGGTTTTTTAATAGATTGGAACCTCCAAATAGAACCTCAGCATCCAGTCCAGAGAGCCAAACTGCTGAGAGAGTCTAGAAGAGCATTGCTCTGTCCCTTTTCCCATCTAGGTCATCCAACAGGTGATCCAGTCAGTTTCAGTGCTAAAAAAACAGCTGGGAGACTTATCTTAATGGACCCAGATAATCAGTTTCATCCATTAATTAATCATCCCACAGTGTATCCAGGAAAGTAAAATTTGCTACCAGCCTTAGGTCTTTGTTACCTCCTGTCTTACTGCTGCTCGAAGACAGTAAGAAAATATGGTACAAAATTATAATAAAATATTAAAACAAATAAATTAAAATTCATATATAAAAAGAAACAAACAACTGTCACCTGTTAAAACATTCTTCAACAAATAGCTTAAAAGCCTAAAGCTGGTGTGATTAAAACATATTTGCTTGATGGCAGAAAAGCAGATAGAATTAAACTGGTTTCATTTTGCACAGAGTTGCAGAACCTGGAAACAGTCAAAATGAAGGCATTCTTACAATCCCTCCAAATTTTTCTGTGATGGTCATACATAGAGTCATATGCTCTGACATCCTGTCCCCAGGTTCCATAAAGTTTTATAGGTCATAAAAAGCATGTTGAATTGTGCCTGGAGATGGACTGGCAGCTGGTGAAGCTTTTTTAACAAGCAAGGCATAGCCTCTCTACAGCTGGACCTATTAAGTAGACTGGATGCAACATTCTGCAGCTGAATGTCCAAATATTTTTTAAAGGCAGCCCAAATAGAATGCAACTCAGGCATTTTCAGGAACAGATGCAGCTGACTTGGTAGCCTAAGCTGTGCAAATGCACTTTGTGGCCACTGTAAAAACCTGGGCATCTGAAACCAGAGATGAATCCAGGAGTACATCAAGCTGCAAATCTGAGTCTTCAAGGGCCATTTGACAGGTTAAGAGCCTTCTCGGAGGAAGTCTTCAAGAACCTGGTGTCCTGCCAGGTTGCTGCTGGCAAGCAAGAGGAGCGACAGAGCTGGTTTTTGTATGCTGGACCTTCTAAGAAATGTTCATCTAGATTCCATCTAGATATGACCTGTTCTTGTGGGTCGGGCTGGGGAGGCCATAGGATTTCAGACATATTCACCAATAATATTTTAATGGGTTTTTATTAACAAATAGAAAAAATATATAAACATGAACACAAGGTTGTAATTTATACCCCTGCCTTTGAATTCCTGCATATGAAATCATATTGGGAAAACTTTTTTGTTTGAAAATACATTGTCTAAAAATGCTTGTGTATGTTTGCTTTTGGCACATACATCATTGCTTGCCATAGGCAACATAATCAAGACCAATTTGGTTAAATCAAACATTTCTAAACTGTATGTACACAATATAAACATTTTAAAATCTTTTTCTTACTTCATTTTTAACATTTGATCTTAATGTAGACTGGTGGAAAAATCTAATCACATGAAGTGAAAATGCGAATGGAAAAACATGCTCCTTATTGGACAAATATGAAAAAAGACATTTTGAAAGCAGTTTTCATAGTATACATAGTAGTCTATACACATTGCCTATTTAAAGCTTTACAGAATACTGAAATGCACACTGAATTTTTATTTACAAACTCTACACAAATATATGGTACTTCATGCAAAAAGTGTACAAATTATTTACTGGTTTGTTTTAGTGAATAAAAACAACATGGATTTTGTTAACAGTCTTCTATCATGGAAGGCTGACACTATGCATATTTGCATCAAACTAATTCTCATTAGAATTAGTGGGATCTGCTTCCAAATCAGTATAAAAAGAATGTAGCCTTCAATTATTTCATTTATAATTATGATGCAGCTGCCACTCGGTATGAAACCTAACAGTGCAAACCTATATGTGTCTACTTAGAAGTAAATTTAGTTCAGTGGTGCTTCTCTCAGAGAAGCACATATATGATTGAAACCAAACGGCATGATCCTATGTCATCTGTTCTTAATGCATGCAAGCTCTGCACACAGAGGCTTATGTACATCCACTGTGAGGCGCACACTGGAGATTTCTGCCACTCTGCACCCCGTATTTCATCTAGATGGCTGGTGTTGGCCAATCAGATGAAGTGTCATGGTGTGGGGGGAAAGGCTGTTGGGACAAGCAAGCCTTTGGTCCCATGTTCTTTCAATCCCTGTCCCCCTGGTGTGCCGCTTTACCCCTTTCCAAGGTGGATTCCTGTCCTTCCATAGGCAGCCAGCATATGCTGGTAGAAGGAAGGTCGGGGTAGGAGCTCCCTGTTCAGAGTCCCAGCTCCAAGACTGCAGCACACTGGACCTAATACTCCAGATAGTCCCATTGTCCCTCAGACAATGTTGGCAGGCCATGGGATTGAGCACTGAATTTCATTTCTTTGTTTCAAACTTCATAAAAAGTACAGGGTAAACTGTAGTCAAAAACAAACACTTAAATTCCACTGATACTATGAAAGTTACAACTAAACAAACATTCCCACTGAAATGAACGGCACTTAAAGGTGTTTAACTTTGGCTGGATTGTCAACAGTTTTAGTATAGCATCGTATGCATATAAAAATGTATGAAATACCTATTTCAAGCCCATTTGTGTTAGCATCTTTTGGCAGGTGTAAATCCTAATATAAAGTTTCTTCCATATTGTAGCTGCAATGCTATACACATTACCTGGGAAGCAAGCATCAATGAACAGAATGAAACTTAGTTCTGTGCAGACATGCATAGGATCACATCGTAAACAGCTGTGCAAAAAACAGATTAGTACAGTCATAATTTTCACAGCAGATTTTCCCCAGAGAAACATTTATGCATAATGTAATGTAACAAACAGGCACTGAGCTTTCTTAGTTCACAATAAACAAGGGGAAGAAAGCATAAAACCTGTAATTTATTTTTTCCACAGTGTTGGGTTTTTGGCACATTCTACATTGACTCAGCACAGCTTATTGAAAATCCTATTAAATGCTTCCTTTTGCCAAGAGAATAAAGGACAAACCCTGACACACAGCTGCTGCTGTTAGTAGCTAGCCATACTCACACAAAACAATGCTATTCTATGGCTTGTTATATTTTCATAATCTGAGCACTGAGATCAGTCCACCAATTTTTGCTGTGTGTCAATGAGACACCGAAGCTTGTTGTTCAAAGAGGAGAGCAGCACGGATCTGCCTTTGGTCTTTCACCATGCTGGTCCTTGAAGTTTTCCCATACAGCTGTTGTGTCTTAAAATGCAGCTTCCCAAGAGCTTTGAAATGCTGCCAATTTATTTCAGCTGCTTCTGAAACCTTGTAATGTTGAGATCCAAGTCACATTCCATTCACAAGCATTAGAAGAGAGGCATGTAGGGAAGCATTCAATTGCAGAGCTGCCAGAAAGGTCCCTTAGATTCCTGAGAAAAAGCACAATGGCAGGTGTTATTCCAATGCACAGCATCCATATGCCTACACCTGGCCATGTTCTATATCTTATTGGAGTCAAAGGGTAGTCATGCCCGGCATCATCTGAAACCCCAAAGCTTTTCTGAAACATGAATGCATACATACCCATTAAGTTTTTATACAGAGGAAGTATTTTTCTCTTCATGACAAATTAATCAGAAACACTAGAAACAATGCAGTCCATCTTTCCTCCTTAGAATAAGCACATACCACTTCCGCTGCTGCCTTTGTGTGTTGACATTGCTGTGATTTTCCCTTCTCATGATCCCATCAATTTATGCTCACTTCCTAGCTAGTCCATGTCCTGTTCTGCCCCCTCCCCTCCCCACAAGGGGCACTAGCCAGAGAGTCAGAATCATACCAGCAGTAGTCCTCCTCCAAGGAATGCCATTTTGCCCCACTACCTTCTTTACCAAATGCAACACCTATTTTTTCTAAGAATAGAAGGGCGCAGTTGCATTGCCTTCACAGCAGATGCTCTTAAGCCTCTGAACTCAGAGCTGTGCAAGTGTGAGTTGCAGGGTTTCTCTTTTTATTCATTATTTGAAGCATTTTCATCCTGTCCTCTACAAGAGTCTCAGGGCAGTTGCACTTTCTGCCCCTGCTGTGCCTTTGCCCTGCCTTTGACCTGGATGAGGGTGGTCCAACACATGGCCCACAGGCTGCATGTGGCACATGAGGCCTTGTTCAGCACCCACCTCCCACAGGGCTCTGGAAAACGGTGGGCTGGGCTGGTGGCCTTGCAAGAGCTCGCCACAATCAGGCCCCACCTGCTTCTGCTGGCGAGTGGCACAGGGCCGCTCACCCGACAGACTCTCCCCAGCTGGGCTGGCAGCCCGTGACACTCCAGCGGAGCACAAAGGTACCCAGCAGCGGAGCACCCAGTGCTCATTAGCAGGAGCGGGCGAGGCCTGCTGGGGAGATCACAGGCCCACAAAGTGTTCTCAAGCCAATTCTGAGACCTCATACTAGTTATCTCCTTCCTTTAATGGTTAATTGAATATAATAATTGTGTATATTATATTACATAAATAAATAAATATATTGCAAACACTTTATTATATGGAAATGCAATTAATGGTGTGGCCCCCAGGTTCTGTGTTGAAGTCCTCATGTGGCCCTCAAGGCATGAAACCTGACCTCCATGGCCTTTTCCACCCATCTAGATTTGGGGCTGGAGAGGGGAAGGGAAGAAGGTTTGGGCATCAACTGGAACCATCACACTTCTGCAACCCCAGGCTCCTCCCCTCCCCTGGCATGCCCCCTCCCCATTTTAAACTTCAAATGAATAATGTGTATACAGGCCAAACAATTAAGATAAGGATTTAAAAACTGTATTAAAAAGATAGTATTCATTTTTATTTATTATACTTTAAAAGATTGCTGTAACATACACAGCGAGGCCCCTAATCTGTACTATCCACAGTGAAACAGTAGTTGGTGTTAGAGCTTTTAAGACCATTAAGGATATTTTCTGGAGTAGGAAGAAAATGCAAGCTGGGACTCTGTAAAGAAGAAGAAGGTTAAGCTGCTCCATGAAGCAGTAAGTACTGGCCTCTCAGTGTTATGGCTGGTGTACATACAATCAGTGCACGTGTGCAAGTTGACTGGGAGAAAGAAGGTGGGCAGAAGGTTCCACCGAGACCTATGATGATCTCTTAACCGAGCACAGAGCTACACCTGCATGAGGTTTAGCAACAGATCGCAGCCTTAGCATGCAGCTCTGTGAACTCAAGTTAGCAACTGGTATCATTCAAACATTTAAGAGGAAAAGGTTGCAGTCCAATACATATTTAACTAGGAGTAAATCCCACTGAACTCAAGGGGCTTATTTCTGAGTACTCATGTATAGGATTGTATTGTAAATCATGTTGACCCCAACGTTTACAAAATAAAATGTGCTATTATTTCTTTTGTATAGCTTGTGTTCTTTTTGCTATTTATTCTGAATATGGATTAGAAGTTGCATTGTATTTTGAATTCTACACAGAACTATAAAGAAACATACTAACAAGTAAAAACATTAGCAGCTCATTTCAATCTGTGCAAATTTTCAGTTTTTTGAAGCATGTAAAATTCACACAGAAACCTTAATGTGGCTAAAAGAATGGATAACTTTAAGAAAAAAGAGAATCCTTTATCTTGAAAGGCACGATCTACAAATGGGTTGGCACGCCTATATTGTGGAATATAGTTGTGGAACAGAAATATCAAGGTAATCTTAGCAACCTCATATAAAGAAAATCTTTATAAAATGTTTTATAGATGGTACTTATCACCAAATAGACTAGCAAAGATGTTTCCAAATATGTCAAATGGATGTTGGAAATGCAAGCATAAACCTGATACTTTTTATCATATGTGATGGACTTGTGATAAGGCAAAAAAATACTGGGCTAAAATACATAAATGGCTTGAGGAAATGTTACAAAAATCTTTAATATTTAAACCTGAAGTCTTTTTATTAGGCATTGTGTCTGATGATGTTGATAAACAAGCAATGTATTTGATTCTACATGTAATTACTACAGCAAGGATTGCATTTGCCCAACATTGGAGAAGAACCACCCACTGATGAACTGATTTTAAAAAAGATTCTGGACTGTGCTGAAATGGATAGGCTGACTTTGTCTCTGAAAAGTTCTATCAAACTTGGAACTCTTTTTATTATTGGCTAGAGAAACAGGACTATGTGTAGATCTGAATATGTCTACGGATCGCTATTAAAAATAATAATAATAGGGGGCTGACCCAGTAGGCCTGATGTCTCTGATGATTGATGTGTTTTAGTTTCTTTTTTTTCAGTTTGTAGAAAATAATAAAATTTACTTTAAAAAAATTCACACAGAAGTAAGTCATAATAATTGAGTATTTTTGAGGTGCCAATTTTAAAAGAACAAGGAAAAATTAACCCGAACAATATTGCACTGATACTGTATACTGCCCTATCAACTATGCAACTATTTATTGTTTTGTTCTTACCTGTTAAATCAGTTTGGGGAAGCACTAACTGTTCTCTCATCTTTCATTGTTGTCTGTTGTTCAGCAGTTTGGAACTGATTTAATGAAGCTGTGATACAGTAAGTATGATTGGGAAGTTCAGTTGCCTCTGTCGAGCTTTGAGAATGACACTTCATAGATGTAACTACATTTGGATCCTGTTCATTATCTGAATCTACAAAGGCTGTTTTTTCAGTCTCCAGGCTGAAAGAATTTTCATCTTCTCCCATTACCTCAGGATATGACTCACAAAAAGAAATGCTATCACAACAAGCTGGGTTTTGGATAAGGGGCCAAGCATCCGAAAGATCTCCACAGGTAGAATGTGAAAGAGAACCAAGGAATGCTGGAATCATTTCCCCAATAGAATTTGAATTCCTGCAAAATGTCATGAGAAATAAGAGCCGACTTTAAAAAGGTTCAAATGCAACATTACAGAAAGAAAGAACAGAAAGAACTAGTAATTTTGTTTCACTTATTCACACCAAATAGTGTATGTCTTGCAAAAATACAATATCCCTACAAAAGAAATGCTATGTTAAGATAAAACATCACCTCTTCTTATTCCCAGCTAGCGAGTCAACTACTGCACATTGCTTGCACATCAAAATGAACATCTGAATGGACCTTTTAACTTCAGTAATTGACAGTGGCACTCTTTTAAGCAAGACACCTGTAAAAATTAGTACTTAAAGTACTATGTATGAAGTACTTAGGGAATCACATCAGTGCCTTCAAAAGCCATAAAGGGATTAATGGACAGCCACTCAGAAACAGTTATACTGTTAAAATTCAGAGGTAAATGGTCCTCATTCAGATTCTTTTTTGGGTACAACAGTAATACAGTGGTACGTTGGCTCACGAACTTAATCCGTTCCATGACTCTGGTTGTGACCCAAATTGGTTGTGACCCAAGTCAAATTTCCCATAAGATTCAATGTAAATAAGGTTAATCTGTTCTGTTACTATTTTTTATCAGAAAAAATTGAAACAAAGTGACAAAGAACAACAAAGTAACAAAGTACTGTACAGTACAGTGGAAAACATTAACCTAGGTGGGGGCGAGGTTATTGTTTTGAGGGAGAGTCCCCCTCCATAAGGACACTGGGGAGATCTCTTTCAGGGGTTTCCTCTCTTCTTTGCCTCTTAGCTGCAGGGTCAATTTTGGTGAAAAATCTGTCTATAGTCACTTGCTTTTTCCTGCGCTGCATAACCCTCCGGAAATGAGAGACCACGTTATCGTTCATCAGATTCAACACTGTTTGTTACAGTTATGTTGGGGTGGTGCTTCTCAAAGAAATCCTGGCATTCATTCCATTTTCACATAATGGATTGTATCACATCACTGGTAACCTCCTCCCTGTCTTCCTTTCCTCAGCGGAATCCTCCTCAGCAAGTGCCTTCTGCTGCTCACTCTGGAGTTCAGCAAGTTCTTCTGTCGTCAGTTCCTCTATGTCTTCCCTGCACGAACGCAACTGCGATTGTGGCCATCTCCCCACTCAGGGGCGGGGTCAGGGGAGATGGCCGCAACCTTGGTTGCCACCCAATGTGGACTTCGCGATCCAAGTCAAGATTTTCATGAAATTTTTGTTCGTTACCCGATTTGGTTGTGAACCAAGGCATTCGTGAGCCAAGACACCACTGTATTGGTCTTGCCATAATTTGCATGAAGTTGGCAGACAACATTTGTCTGTAGTTCAGAGTTGCTCTGCTGGAATGAGTATATCATGCAATATACTCATTCTGTAATAAATATTAAAATGATCAGAGATAAGCACCATTCAAAAACATGAATTACCTTTCATGAAGTGAAGCCTGAGAATGAAAAGGGCAGCTATGACAGCTGTGTTCCAGGCTACATGTTTCATCACAGCACAGCGATGGAATCAAATGCACTGGACCTAAAAAAAAAGCCAGTAATTTAATCTCATCAAGCCATATTCATCTAAGCTTACTGCAAGTTAGCCCCAAACAATTACAGTGCTTCAAATCTAGCTTAAAAGTTAGGTAAATTGTGCACTAGCAAAAATATAGCCATTTATATTAGCAATCCACTGCTAAAGACCTGGTCAAACTTAGACAATGTGCACAGATTTCTTGAAACAAAGGCAGTGTGTGATTCTCATGACCATGGGCTAATTCACCCAATCCTGAGCCTACAGTCTGGGCACAGTATGGCATAGGAGATAGCTTCTGGCTCTTGCCTGTCTACTATGCATGGAAAATAATGTGCGTGACCAAGACTCAAACTGATGTGTTTTCATGTATATTGGCCCAGCCATATAATCCATTTGCTCCTTTTTAATTTGGTTTGGTTTTCTGTCAGGAAAGATCATGGACTTATGTATTATACACAATTGGAGCGCTACATCACAAGTTACATTTGCATCTCACAATGTGAATGTTCTTGATGCCATCTCCAGTCCTGAGTATGCTTACAGCCTTAGTCATAACTTCCATTATATTCTCACACTCCCAATTTTGATTTCCCAATTTTGATTTCCTGTTCAAGCATCCAGTGTTGCTCTATCTATGAAGCCATGATGGTAGTACTGAGCCAATTCCCAGAAGACTCAAGTTACACTTTTTGATCTTCAGGGAGAGGTAGGAATACATTATACTCCCATTTTCCAAGTACTATGTACCTCACAAAACAACAAGGCTACAGTAGTAGAACTACTAGCAGTGTATTAGCTAAATCCATTTTACATTTAATGGATCGTTACTTCTCAGCAGAGCTACCATCCAACTTATGAATTTGTACTCCCCACATACTTAAATATCAATGTACAAGCAGGGTAGGTGGGGAAGCCCAGAAAAATACTCTGGCAGTTGAAAGGCTGACATGCGGGCCTATGGACACCAACCAGCATTGCTCCTCCCTACAACTGAAGAGGTGCAGGAGAGACATTGCTTATTGTGAAGGCAGACTATAGCTGTTGTTCTATCCCCAGATTAGTTTAGCATAGCGAAAGCATGTCTATAGCTGTGGCAGTTCTATGCACTTAACAGAATGAGGAAAGGCCCGAAGAGGTGGGATTCAATGGAGGAATATACAGAAATGAAACTGCATTTTATGTACTCTTGCTATTTTGGCCAACACTCTTCCCATAAAGCTTCCCCAAGCTGACTGCACTTACCACACAATTGTGATGGGTCCCGCTGGCACTGGGAACATGTTCTGTGAGCAAACACATTAAGCTGTGGTCTGTCAAAACATGAAAGTTCAGAGCCCTCACAGTGCACATCCTGTGATCTCATAGACCCTTCAGAATAAATGAGAGATTGACAATGGATATTGATAAATTGCTTCATTAGTGTTCATGGTATTCTCAGATCTTAGCTTTGCACATTTCAGAGTCATGTACAAGTGAAGCTTGGAGCATTTATTCAGAAGTACTGCATTGCTATACTATAGGGTACATAATTTTATTCAGAATTCCCTGCTTTGGGCTTACTTCAGAGTGTTTTAGAATCTTCACTAAAGGTAAAAGGTAGAAATCATTTGCAGAGGTGGGGTCTCCAGGCCTGGATTGCAGCTGAAAGCAACCTACTGTTTCTGGATTAGAAGTTGTTCTACTTTCTTTCTTCCTGAGAAAAGTGCAGGCAGAATTTACTACTGTTGTTTGAGTGATCCATACACTCATAATCTTTTTCTCAAGCAATATAGTTTTGGGTTCAAACCAGCACCTTGAATTGGGCTCAGAAACACACAGGCAGTCAATGCAAGCAGGCCATTACTGGTCTTAGGTATCTGGACCTATGGGTCCCAGTTATTAATCTGGCTGTTGTGTTCTGCACAAGCTGTAGCTGCTGAACTATCTTCAAGGGCAGTCCAACGTAGAGTGCATTGCGATACTCTAATCTGGAGATTACCAGAGTGTAGATCCCTGTCCAGATAGAGGCATAACAGCAGACACCAGCAGAAGGCACTCTGAGCTACTGAGGCCACCTGAGCCTCCAGTGACCAAATTCAATCAAGAAGCACCCTTAATCTGCAAGCCTGCCCCTTCAGGGGGAGTGCAACTCTGGTTAAACTAGTGGTGTATACGGAATCTAGTTTCTGAGGTGGGAATTGGTTAGATTTCCTCAGCTCAGTTCCCTAGACTCCTGCCTGCTTTCTCTCTGCCCTAAGTCAGCTTGTGCAGAGCGTTTACAAGGGCATCTCGCAGGAGGCAAGTTCAAGAGATTCTGTGTGGCCAGCCTGTGCACACACTGTCCACACATCTGCTGTGCAAGTTCTGCTGCTGCATACATGACTCATGGGCATTGGATATTTTGTGCAAAGAATTACATACTTTCTGTACTTTGCTCAAAGAATTGTGTACTTTGCATACTTTGCACAAGGAAGCCAATAGTGTTCCTGAGCATTTGCAGACTTTATCCTGGCTCACTTCCTGGCCAAAGCTGAGTGTGAGAAAGAAGTCCCACGAGTGCGTGAGAGCTAGATTCCAGTATTATCCACATCTTTGTCTGGATTCAGCTTCAGTTTGGTAACCTTCATCCAGTCTGTCGTTGCAGCCAGACACCAGTTTAGCATGTTGATGATGAAAAGGAGAAACAGAGTTGTGTGCCATCAGCGTAATGATGGCAACACACTCCAAAACTCTGGATGAACCCACTCAGCAGTTTGACGTAGATATTATCTAGCATGGGAGACAGAGCAGACTGCTAGGACAATCCATGATGGATAATCCATGGAGATAAGCACTATTTCCCAATTGGCCCTCCAAGAGTAGTGCAACCACTGCAACACAGTATCCTTACTCCAACTCAGAGAGTCATGCCAAAGGACACCACGGTTGATGGTATCAAAAACTGCTGAGAGGTCCAGGAGTTATCCACAGGGTCACATTCCTGTCTGTTTCCCGACACAGGTAATAATACAGGGTAAGTGAAACTGTTTCTGTGCCAAAACTTGGCCTGAACCCCAACTGAAATGGATTCAGACAATCAGTCTTATCCAAGAATGAGAACTGGTTGACAACCATCCACTCAAGAACCTTGTCCAGTAAAGGAATATTTACTATCTGCCTATTAAGGTCTTTAAGTTATTAAGGTCTTCTGGATCAAGGAAGGATTTCTTCAGAAGTGGTCACACCACTGCCTGTTTTGGGAGGCATGGGACGACTTCCTCTCACAAGGAGGCATTTATCACCTCCCTGGCCTAGCCAGTTCTTCCTTCCTTGATGACTTCTATAAGCCAGAAGGGGCAACGATCTAGTACAGATAGTTCCATGAACCTGGCCAAGCATCTTGTCAACATTCTTGAGTTTTACCAATTGAAACTCATCCAATAAAACTAGAGCAGGTTGTACTCTGGGTACCTCATGTAATCCAACACCTATAACTCTGTAGACTCCCAATGAATGCAACAGATATTTTTCCTGGAAGTTCTGGACAGGTCTCAGATGTTTTAAAGAGGTCCTTGGGGTGAGCATTAGAAAGGCCCTAGATGACCCTAAAGTTTTAGGTGGAAAACTTGTTTGCTTCTCTAGCACCCTTGCAGTTTCTAAATATACCTGATTGGAGGCACACCCCAGGGTTCTACTGCATCCCCTGGGAGCTTTCCTCCATCCGTTTAAGCCATTTCCTAAGTTGTTTCGTTGCTCTAAGTTTCAGGGTATACCGTGGAGGCACATGAACACTAGAAACTAAAGGGTGCTTAGGTGTAATCAAATAAACCTCCTAGGTAATTTCTGTGTTCCACAACTTGACAAGGGTTCAACAGGAGTGACAACCACATCAGCTGGAAAATCCCACAGAGCCCTCTAGAAACCATATGAAACCTCCAGGGGTTCCTCTTAATAGGCACCCCATGGGCTAAGTCTCAAAGCACTAGCCTCATATGTGACTGAAAGACGAACACTAGAGTATGCCCTATCACTTGTGTTGGGTCATTAACATGATGGGAAGGTCTCATGACAACATGAAACAGATCTCTGCTTAACTCATCTGCAGAACTAGCCTTCACACAGTTCTTCTTAATGATATAATTGCTTGAGATGGAAGAGGGAAGTTTTGCAAATCAGCTCCAAGTTATAATTAGTAAGACTCAAGCATTTTCTGCCTTTTCACTGAAAGGCTTCTATTGTAGAAGTCTCAAAGTAAAGACAAAATAGGCAACAATATTAACTGAAAATATAGTATGAGAAACTTACAGCTTGGCTTCTTTTCCATAAATTGTCTTTTGCAATAAATAACACATAGGATGAGAAGAGCTAGAAGTACAGTTGCCAGTGCACTGCATATCACAGCAGCTAGAGCAGTGTCTCTTGGACTGGAAGCAGTTGATGGGATTTTCACCAAATTCACTTTTGTAGTGCCTAAATATAGAAGAATACAAGAAGAGCACATTTAATACAGTTTATCCTTAAATGCAGTCACAAAAATGTTTTAGCTTAAATGTTTTCTACGAATCAACCTAGCTCTATGGATGCCTAGAAAAGGCCCCACAAATAGCCACCTCAGAGGATGCTATGCTCTGTCCTAAGTCAAATTATGCAAATATTCATGTCACAGAATTTTTCCACTGCTCAAAGCATCCAAATGAAGATTTTACAAAAGATTAAAGTCATCAAGCAGTTGCAGAAATACCAAATACTACTGCTTGGTTTTAGATTTGCAGAAGGCAAAACTACAGCAATTGGATATTCCTGTGGGTAGAAGCGGGAGAGATGATTTTTCTCAATGCCTCTTACAGCGCTCTTAACACCCATCCCAGAGGGGTTGGGGCCCTCTGGAACAGTGTGGGAGCTAGTGTTGGGCATGGCAGTGGAAGGGGAAACCAGAAAAAAGCAGTTTCTCTCCCTAGTGAAAGCCATTGCTGGATGGAACAGGCACTTCTGCTGACAGAAACTATGTCTGGATACATCCCAGTGGAAATAGGAACCTTTCAGCACAAACCCCATGGGATAGGCAACCTTAAGATTTTGCTGCTGCTGCTTTCCTCTCCACTCTTCACATTTTAAAACTGCTTACAATTTCCCACTCAGTATATCAGCTCTTGTAGTACAGAGAGCCTCCAGGAAGCTCTGTCTGATTTACATAATCATGAAACTGGAAGATGATCCCATCATTTAGGGATGGTTCAAATGTAGCTCACTCATATGCTTATCTTAATAAATAACTTCCTTGTGTGATCAAACTGAAGTTTGACATCACATCTAAGCAGGCTCATTATGGCTTGCCTGAGCCCTCCAGGATCTAATCATGTTTTGCAATCCTGATTTGATTTAACTGAATTAATTGGGAAACAAATAAATTCAGCAATTAGGATGAATAAGAAAGAGAATTTCTATTGTATTAATTAGAACTAAACTGAGATTCTGCCAGAGTATGTTTTCCACAAGTTTTCCAATCACAAGTTAACATTCATTAAAGATAAGGTTAACTTTTAATCAAATGGTTCAGATATTTTGCGACCAAGTTAACAACAAAGAAGAAGAAGAAATAGTCTCTGAAACACAGAGATAAAGGGCTATAATAAGCATTCATTTATTCAGAAACAGAATCCCAGACAGAAAATGCTTTTGCTCTGGCAGTGTAGAAGTTTGTATTTCGATAAGTAACCAGAAGGAGTCAAAGGTCATGCAGCTGATCTGCGTAACTCACATATTTTCCATGGTAAGAAAACTTATTAAAATACTCGAGATGTTCAGAGTCATTCTGCCTTTAGCTGCAAAGGGAGATCAATGTCCTCAGAAGAAATCCATCCAGGGATCTTTGACCCATTTTACATTCTAATGAACTAGGCCATTCAGCGCGTGGAGAGACATTTAAGGGGGGTACTATTTTCAGCATACAAAAAACAACAGGGACTAGAAAGGTTTAAGGCATTCAACTATAATAATTTTTAAAACTGTTAAAAAAGAGTCTCTGAGGCCCTGTTCCCATGTCAGATACACACATTTCTTTTATAAGTATGGTTTAGGCATTCATTTGGATATAATAAAGGTGTCTTATTATGGGATGTGATAATGGACCATCATGGCAGCCAGCTCCACACATGACTTATCCATATTGCATGGTAGTGTCACACAAATTCAAATAAATGTCAAAGAATAACCAACTGCTATCAAGCTACCTCCTACATGTCCTTTATGTGTTAGGAACTTCTAAAGAGGGCTACCATCACTCTATTTAGCAGAGACACATACTGAGTGAGTGTGGCATGTCAAACTCCCACCAACTCTCTGAAACAAAACTCTCATCTGTCTTTAGTCAAAAGGCACATATTTATAAGTAACCAGTGTTGCGAAAACATTAAGAAAGAAAGATGAGACTTTTATTTCTTCGTTTTACAACACACAATTCAAAAACCATGAATTACAGTGCTTACAGAAGGACATATCAGTTCAACAACTTCACAAAAAAGCCAAATATTTGATATGAAAAATAATTAAAAGAATGCCCAGTGGTGTTAGCTTCTGAAAACATGTAACATTTGTTAATTCTACATGCATGCCTGGACAAGAGTGGGAGACTATAATTTTATGGAAAATTATCTTTGCAATCATAATGACCAGTTTGTTTCCCATCAAACAAAGTATAGGAAAATAGCTATGCAATCCAACATGTACAACAAAACAAAACAAAACAAAACAAAACAAAACAATGGAAGTGAGAAGCTGCCCTTCTTTTGTGCTCATCATCAGGAATTTCCTTACTACCTGTGCAAACTGGCAGTAAATAAAGATTTCTCTTTAGCAAAATTTGGGGAGGGATGACAGGACACACAGAAAAAGCAGGAAAAAAGGGAAATTATTGGACAAATTGGAAAGATTAATAACAATGCATTTTGTGGCAGTGCATTCCAGTTAACTTGTCCAAATGAAACTTGTACATTGTAGGAATATGCTGAAGGAATGATTTGTGAATCCTTAGTATGGAACTATGATTGCCCTCTTTATAATGAAAAAAATGAATTTTTGCATGTATACTTTCTGGAGGCAGAACCTCAAAATTCACAGTTCCTTCTTACTGGCTAAATCAAGTGTACCAGAACCTCAAAACATTTTACTCACATTGAAACTAATGGGAAAATGGGAGTTATCAAGTGTTTGCAACAATACTACTTAAAACTTTAGGGTTTTAATATTTGTTAGCCACCCAGAGTGCCTGAGTTATCCGGCAGTATAAAAACGCAACAAACAAATAAAATAAAAACTTGATGAACTGGATATAGCACATCCAGAAGTGTAGCTTTCTACTTTGCAGAATTCTTCTATGAGCAGAAGAGCACTGTCCATGTGTAGAAGGACATATCAGGATCTTAATCAAATGTGATTTGGACTGCGATGAAAAACAAACCAATATTGAACATAGCCAGCAGGATCCAAACTTTACACTTCCATTAGCATAAGTTACACTGAGCTAGTGTAAGAGACCTTCAGCTCACTACACATAGGGTGTGGTAGTTGGCATGGCAGGATTCCCTGGAAAATCCTTCATGCCAACTAATATCGTTGGCATTGCACTAGAGGGCAATCATGCTGGCACAATGTGAAGTACATAACACTAATGTCCAACTGGATACTGCCCCTTGACAGTAAGCATACTTCTGAGTAGGACATGATAGCATGAGATAAATTGATTAAAATACTCATGCTTTGTTTTGCACCAATAACATTTCAATTTAACCTTTAAAAAACATAACTGTAGCATTTCCATACTGAAAAAATCAAAAGCAATAAACAATCATGGATGAAATTGGAGTACATAGGATTACCAGGCTGTGTACAGAAAAGCAAAGATCCAAGTATGTACATGTCTATAGTTTGGCACACAGCTGCAGGGATCATATTGGTTTTATTTCTTTTGGTGTATGGCCAGTGCTGGTGTTTTTGTAACATACAATATTAATTATTATAAATTTGATTTAATAAGAAAAGTGATATTTTATATTAAATATTTTAAATTTCTATTTAGATAAAACTGGATTTTCAAGCCTCTCTTTTCCAAATTGTTAGGACTGCAAACCTTTGCATATTTAAATTAAGTCCTACAACAACTAGCATGGTCCAGCCAGGCTATGGCATGCTGGAAGCCGTAGGAACTTTTTTCCTTTTAAATATGCATAGGATTTTACCCTAAATAATTGACTGAAATGTCATCAATTAAGCACAAGAAAGAATGTTAAAATATTGTAGAAATAGAAGTATTTGATTTCCAACAATGTAATTTCCAGCCTTACACTCTGTATATATGTATCTTTTTGTTTATCAAAGATTTTTCTGAGTAGATAAGTGTGCCCTGGATTACTTTCAATAATTTTTTCCGGCTAACAGATAACCTTTTTGTAATTTTGATGTAGGCATAAACACCCTTTCTCTCCAGAAGAGTAATATTTGCAATAATTCATATGAAACCCATCATGAAAACACTTCCCAATATGCAAAACAGTTGCATTTTTTCAGCAAATTTATACCAAGAACCCAGGCAGTAGGTTAAAAGGACATGGATGATGACAATGATGACAGCAACAACTCTCTTGCATATTTTTTAATCTTTTCCAAGTGGCACCCCAGTTGTATATGACTATGAACTTTCTAGTATTCAGTATAATTTCACATTAGTACCATCTATGGAATAGGTGAACCATTTATTACATAAGATCACATTTCTACTGTACATTATTGCTAAAAGGCCTTCATTTCTAATTACATTTAAAGGTTTTTCATTAAAAGGTTGTAAACTGCCTAGAAAGCTATGGCTATTGGGTGGGATAGAAACATAATAACACAACTATAATAACAAAGAAGAAAGCAAGTTTTACAAGAAAATAAGAATTCTTTGTTTCAGAATGTGAAAAGAAATGATGTTATAACTCCAAATATTAATGGATTTTTTATTTTAGAGAATTCTAATGTAATCTTAATAACTGCAGCTACATGGGGCACTTCTGGGATAGTATTTTTCAGCCTGTGATTTAGGTCTTGTTCTGAGCCTTCCTATAATTCTATCTCCATTACCAAATGGGTGCTGACCTTCTTAAGCCAAAGAGAGAGATTTAAGGCCACTTCCCTGTTCTCTTGGAAATTTGTGAATATCAAGGGACTGCAGCCTCTTTAATTTCTAAAGAAAGGTGAACTTTAATGGAAAGGATGAACAACCCATATATTCTGAGATGAATTCATTTATCTATTCGTGTTTTAATAACAACCCTGCATTAACACCATTTGCCTGTTCCATATTGTTCTACAGTCATTTGTCGTAGTCAAGTGGAATCATGGTAATCCCAAGTTTTAACTAGTGGCACTTCATCTTATACTGGAGCTTTGAACTCTTTGTATATGTGATGATGTAATCTAGTTCAACACAGAAT